GCACTTGGATTACTTGTGAACTTATTTATGATATATTGCGAGACATGTGACGTTTGTGATATATATGTGGTGTTGGATATGTGTGCTGTTGATGATATATATGTGATGTTGGTGATGTTTGTTATATATATCTTCTGTTTGTTTGGATGGAATGTAAAAAACAAATAAAAAAGACTGTTTTCAGTCACTTTGCCGAGTGCAATGGCCATGACACTCGGCAAAGTGACGACCTGGGAACATGCCTGGGAACATGCTTTGCCGAGTGCACAGGTCATTGCACTCGGCAAACATCACAGGTTTGCCGAGTGCCACGGGCCAGGCACTCGGCAAAGGTGGCCTGTTTGCCGAGTGTCTTGCCGGTGGCACTCGGCACAGTGTCCACGTTTGCCGAGTGTTTGAGTCAACGACGCTCGGCAAAGAGGAGACCTTTGCCGAGTGCTTGACCTTGACACTCGGCAAAGCCGCCGTCACGGTGGCGCTCGCCGTCACGACGACTTTTCTTTGCCGAGTGTCAAATTAGCACTCGGCAAAGGCTTTGCCGAGTGCCCGATAAAGTGCACTCGGCAAAGAGGTCTTTGCCGATCAATTGTTTACAGAGAGCTCTTTGCCGAGTGTAACACTCGACAAAGGATTTGCCAAGTGTATATCAGTCTTTGCCGAGTCCCTGAGGCACTCGGCAAAGAAGCTGCCTCCGGTAGTGTATATATGAGAGAGAGAGAGAGAGAGAGAGAGGGAGAGAGAGAGAGAGAGAGAGAGAGAAGACATATCAGCCCAGGATTCTACTCAACAGTCAAATTTGGTCACCCCTGATCTACCAATTTCATATGGGTAGGGCATATGTGCTGCCGATTTGTAATCCATTTACATTCCAGGACAAACAAATCCTTCATGGTCCATCACGTGCATCCTTTTCAAACTGGCATATAATAACATTTTCACAAACAATTTTCACCAACAGAACCACACAGCACATATATATGACACTTCATCATAAAATAAAAAGAGTAAAGTGCACCAGTTGTCCTCAAACTTGTGTGACTGTGTCATCCCAGTCCATAAACTCATAAATCGCTCATTTAGGTCATCAAACTTGTTTAGCTATGTCAGCGGTCCCTACACTTAAAAATTGTCCTTTTAGGTCCTCAAATTTGTTCATACGTGTAATTCCGGTCTCTAAACTTATAGATCATCTGTTCAAGTCGCACGGTCAGTCCAATTGCGTCTAGATCGGTGCCCGTATGCTGATGTGGCATGCTGAACATCTGTGGCCCCTATGTTAACTCTATATGTGAGGTTAAGGAAAATATAGTACGTGTCAACCCCCTCCTACGTGCACCAAGTCGTGTGGAGTCACGATGCACATGGGCTTGATCGATCAAGTGGGCATGGAAGGTTTTGGTCGGACGATCAAGTGGGCATGGAAGGTTTTGGAGATAAAGAAGAGGGATCGGACTGATGGATGGAAGAAGAGATGTGGAAGTGAGGGATGGAAAGATGGGTGAGAAAGTGTGAGGAACCAAAATCATGAAAAAAATTTCTCCTACAGTAGAAGGCTGCTAGCAGCATGCAGCTACACTGCAGGGAAAAAAAAACAGCACCACTGGGCACACCCATTGTGAGATTCCGGCAACTCTACCTTTCTTTCGCTGCACCACCGCATCTTTATAGTTAAATTAAGTGAAAACATTACATACCGTAATTAATTTAATTAACTCATTATCTTTCAAGTGAATTTTTTCTGTTTGTGAGTTTAGATCGACCAAACTTCAGTGGCACAAGTTTGGGTATCGATTCTCCCTCTAGAGAGAGAAAACAAACATGCATGAAACTATGTCTCATACAATCAATACGGATCTGAAAAAAAAATCAATACACAACAGATGGTAATGTGTGAATAGACTTGGAAACAAGCACTTACATCTTTTCTGAGAGAGGTGACGTGGAGCTGGATGGCCTCCATATTGATCCTAGCGTATTAGACTCTCCCAACCTGTACCTGTCCTTGTTCACAATGATTCCCTCCAGCCTTGCATTGATCAACCTGATCCTGCTGGAGAGGTCACGCCGGACCACGACTTGGGTGGTAAAGCTGGCAAAGAAACTCAAGATGGTACGGCTCCAGCCAGGGAATCTACAGAAAAAATGCATATAATTAGTTTATGGATGATGTTTAAATCTTTTTTCAACCCTAGCATCTAGATAATAAATCTACAAACCAAATCAATAGTCATGACCCTTTTTTATAGGTACTATAAGTTTTGTTTTGCAAATCCTAGTACAGACCAGATACTCATCATGTACACACTCACTCTGTGTGAACGGCACACGCATACCCTTATGAGCACCTCTAAGAGACTAAAACTGAATTGGATGGGAATGATACTACGAAACAGATTTAGAGAGTCAGTCAAATGAAACGTCCATTTCCATCTGTGGCGTATGGTCTCTGTTAATGAAGATTCATGAAGGGGAATCCTATGCCCGTCTCTGCAAATGTTTTTTGAAATTGAAAAAAAAAATCTCTCATACGGACTAAATTGGTGGATGATATCCGTGTACCATTGGACACAACGAACTTCGCATAAATTATGGAATTGTTATCAGAGAAAATTTTAATATATAACAAATTTCCTCTTATGAATAATTCTGAATGCGTTTGTGGTAACATTCTATACACATATATATACATATATATTTAATTATTATTTTCATGTATATAATTAAGGGGGGTCTTTGTTTTCTGGTGATATGGTTGAGTTGCCGTCTGTTTTGCTAAGATAGCAATCTGGTGATACTGATGTAGTCTTAATCTTGCTCCTGCTATCCCTTTTGCTTTCTGAAACACTGTAGAAAACTCTGTTGTATTTCCGTTGTTTCTAATGGAAATGGGGCTAGCCCTCGGTTCCGAAAAAAAATACACGCACTACTACTAGCTATCTAGGTGCTAATGTCGTGGTATATACGCACCTTGAGAGATCAATTTGGACGAAGTACTGGTCCACGGCGTCTTCGGCGTCGAAGACAGCGTCGCGGGTCTGCTGCAGCCACACCTTGATGAGCTCGTTGGGCTGCACGCGGCGCGACGGTTGGACGTCGCGCAGGAAGGCCTGCATCCACATGAGCTTGTCACGGAGGCTCCGGATGTCCTCGTTCACAGCCACTAGCGTCCGCGCCTCCCTGCTCGCCACCTGCTGCAGCTTCCACAGCATCGACCCCACGATGGCCTCTGCCATCTTTTGGCTTAATTGCCTTGATTTTCTAGATGATGATTGGGTCGCCGTAGCTTAATTATTTACTCTCCATTGGCAGGCTCATCATCTCTCGCTATCTCTCCTTACCTAATTTGGAGGGGATCATCTGGAGTATATAATTTCTGAAGCGGTGAGCATGGATATTTATGCACCCACCACCACTGCACGCTCCAATCTCTAGCTTTGTCGATCGAGTACGCCCTTTCATTATTTTTGGCACTTTGATTGAGTAGCTGTGACGGCAGGAATCAGGATTTGTTCTTGCCGTCATGGAATACAGCCAGCCTTAATTAGTTCCAGTCAGGCCTTGTTTAGATTGCAAGTTTTTTCACTCTCTCTCCATCACATCAAATCTTTGACATATGCATGGAGTACTAAATGTAGATAAAAAAAACTAATTACACAGTTTGATTGTAAATTACGAGACGAATCTTTTGAGCCTAGTTAGACCATAATTGGACAATAATTGTCAAATACAAATGAAAATGCTACAATGCCAAATACTGATTCCAAACATCAATCTAAACAAGGCCTCAGAGAAGATTCCTTTTGAGTAATCAGTCTTTCTCAGCAAGGAACAAATCCTTTGCGAAGTTTCTAGCTGTTAGAGCATCTGTTAGAACTTTAAAAAGTGTTGTTTCCTGTTAGAGCATCCATTGCTTTAAAAAGTACATTTATCATTACCGGTTTCAAACTAGCCATCTCACATCCTTTGTGAAGTTTCCAGCTGTTAGAACATCCATTACTTTAAAAAAGTGAGTGTTGTTTCCTGTTAGAGCATCCATTACTTTAAAAAGTATTTATCATTACCGGTTTCAAACTAGCCATCTCACATCCTTTGCGAAGTTTCCAGCCAACGTCCATTACTTTAAAAAGTGTTGTTTCCTGTTAGAGCATCCATTACTTTAACAAGTATTTATCATTACCGGTTTCAAACTAGCCATCTCACAGGGAATGGAACCGATGACAAATGGTATTTTTACTATCTTAGCTACATAGTAACTTATGACTATAGAGCCGACACTATTATTCTAAGCTCACATTTGTGAATCTTGTATTGCATATTCGAAACACCAAGCGGTCTCAAATGAAAAGAAATAAACTATAAAGTTGTAGATATCATCGAGTACTACAACTTTTATGCTGATTTTGTTTCTATCCAGAATAGTTTAATAGGTCTGAGATCATATATTATCCTCTAGCTTAGTCGATCGAGTACACCCTTCCATTATTTTTGGCACTTTGATTGAGTAGCTGTGACGGCAGGAATCAGGATTTGTTCTTGCCGTCATGGAATACAGCCAGCCTTAACTAGTTGCAGTCAGAGAGGATTCCTTTTGAGTAATCAGGCTTTCTCAGCAAGGAACAAATCCTTTGCGAACTTTAAAAAGTGTTGTTTCCTGTTAGAGCATCCATTGCTTTAAAAAGAGTTAAATGCATGAGGGTCCCTGAACTTGTTAAGGGGTGTCACTTAGGTCCATGAACTTGAAAAATGCATTTATGTGACACTGAACTTGATAAGTGCAGCACCATAAGTCCATATCGGACACATGGACAATTTATCCAATGTGTCATTGCCACTGTGGCGCTGACTATGTCTAGCACTTTGCATTTAACCCCTTATCTTTTTTATTTCTTTTTTTCTCTCCCTCTTCTTTCTTCTCTGTGAGACTCAAACCTGCCTATGCAATTGGCCGTCACTGCCGTAGCCATTCACCGTCGTATCCATTCTCTGTGAGCACCTCGGGGTCACGGCAGATCCTGGCCGTCGCCTCCGCGGGCAGCATCACCACCACGTCCCGTGCCTTGCCGCCCTTGGCCGCGGGCAGGACGAGCACCAGCCCCTCGCCGGCGGCCCTGCCCACGCGGCATCGACGCGCGCGTTGGGGGCACCCCGGCCTCGAACTCCGCACCATATATGAGCACGTGGTCCAGCGCCGCGCACGTCAGCACGCCCTCCTGCTGCTGCTGTCGCGCGTGGAGCCACTCCAGGGCACTCCACAGCTTGTCCTTCGGCACGCCGGCGACATGGCGGTCCAGCGTTGCGGCCACGGCGGGCAGCCTGGACACGAGGTCGGCACGCGCGCATGTCAAGTGGGAGCTGCCGTAGTAGCCCAACGGCAGCGGCGCGTACATCCGCTTGCGGAAGTCTAGCGCCAGCGTGACAATCCGCTCCCTGTCGGCGGCGCCGGTGATCCAGAGCCAGAAGAGCGCGGCGAGTGCCGCGAACGGGGTGAATAGATCCTTCCTCCTCTTCCAACATACTCCGTCCTCTACCCAGCCGCAGCCGCCGTCGCAGGTGTGTTCGTCCTCGTCATCCTCGTTCCATCGGTGGCCAAGGAGAGGGCGAACACCGAGTTCATCTTCACCCACATGAACACCAACAACGGCATGGGCATCCATAGCAAGGCCTACATCCTCGCCGTCGAGCTGCTCATGAGCCAGTATTCCAGCATCAGCTACGACACCTCTGCTCACATGGTGAACTGAACACACGCCGCCGTCGTGGAGTGCCGTCGGCCGGCCGGCCGTCCACCACACGTTCATCTTTGTTCTCTGATGACCATCTGAACTGAACGAGCACGATCGCATGCAGACGGAGGAGACAAAGAAGGCAGACTGGAACGGGCTGATGGGGATCGTCTACTCGGTCTCTCTGTCCAGCGTGTTCGGATGGATCTACCTACTGGAGTGCTGGCTCTCACGTCGGTGGTGACCGACATCCCGTACCTGCTGGACACCGGCAACGACGCCGGCGGGTACGCCATTGCTCAGGCCCTGCACGCCACCTTCCACCAGAGGTACGACACCGGCGCCGGCGGCATCGCCCGCTTGGTCATCATCGCCGTCGCCGTCTTCCTCTGTGGCACCGCCTGCATCACCAGCAACTCCAGGATGGGCTATGCCTTCTCCAGGGATGGGGCGATGCCGTTCTCGCATGTCCTGTACGCCACTTCAACGTCGTCTGGCTCTCCGTGTCCGTGGCGTTCGTCATGGCCCTCACGGTGTGCATGCGCTCTCATCTCTCAACTTCTCAAGTACGTGTCTGCCATGCATGTGACCGTGTGATTTCTCTTCATTCCTGACCGACACGTACAGTCGCTGGGGAGCCAGGTGGCGTTCCAGACCATGGTGTCCATCGCGACGCTGGGTCTATACATCGCCTACGCGCTGCCCATCTTGTTCCGCGTGACGACGGCGAGGAGGTCGTTCGTGCCAGGGCCGTTCCACCTCGGGAGATTCGGCGTCGCCGTCGGCTCGGTGGGCGTGCTCTGGGTGGCCCTCGTCACCGTGCTCTTCTGCCTGCCGGTGGCGTACCCCGTCACCAAGGAGACATTGAACTACACGCCGGTGGCCGTCGGCGGCGTGCTGGTGCTCAGCCTCGCCGCGTGGGTGCTCCACGCCCGGTTCTGGTTTTGAGGGCCTATCACAAAGTCCTCCACTTCCAACATACTCCGTCCTCTACCCAGCCGCAGCCGCCGCCGCAGTACCACCCTACGTGCTTCTTCTAGCCCTATCGTCGTCGTCTGGGTCGGGGAGGCGGGCGGCGGAGCACGAGCGGTGGCCGTGGAGTCCGGTGTGGTCGCGCCCACCGTCGGACAGCGGCGGATGTCGCAGGCGCAGGAGCAGCTCCTCCTCGTGCCGCATCGGCGCCACCACAGTCGTCCACCATCGCGCTCGGAGGTGAGGTGCCGCGTCGCGGCCGGCCGGCCGGACGCCGACGACGGAGCGCCCGTGCCCGCCCCCGTCCCCACTCCGAGCTCCAGCAGCGCCTTGACGACGTCGCGGCCACAGTGCTGGACGGCGTAGTGCACGGCGAGCGCGTCATCGAGGTCTAGCCCTTCGCCCATGACCATCAGCTTGACGAGCTCAAGGTCGGCCGCGTCCAGCGCGCGCTTCATGCGCCGGATCCTGTGGTCACGGTTGGCCGCCCAGGACGCCGCGTTGATGGGGAGGTAGTGGTGGGTGAGGAACGGTGACTGGACAGGCACTCGAATGCAGCAGCAACCACGCCACTGCCCGCAGGGCCGCAATCACCTGATCCACGAGTGCTCCCTGGTATGCTGCTGCTTACCGTGCGCAGTGGAGGAGCGTGTCGTCCACGCGCCCATGCGCGTGCCCGTCGTGCTGTAAAAGAAGAAATAAGTGTGAGGGGTTAGATGTAAAAGAAGATGCCACGCTGTCATGCCACATCGGCAAGAAATCGCTGACGGAGCAGTATGGACCTATGGTGCACTAGATAACAAGTTAGGTGATCTATAAATGCATTTTCAAGTTTATGGACCTAACTGGTACACCATGACAAGTTTTTGGACCCCTGGTGTATTTAACTCCTTTAAAAAAGTACATTTATCATTACCGGTTTCAAACTCGCCATCTCACATGCTTTGTGAAGTTTCCAGCTGTTAGAACATCAATTACTTTAAAAAAGTGAGTGTTGTTTCCTGTTAGAGCATCCATTACTTTAAAAAGCATTTATCATTACCGGTTTCAAACTAGCCATCTCACATCCTTTGCGAAGTTTCCAGCCAACATCCATTACTTTAAAAAGTGTTGTTTCCTGTTAGAGCATCCATTACTTTAACAAGTATTTATCATTACCGGTTTCAAACTAGCCATCTCACAGGAAATGGAACCGATGACAAATGGTATTTTTACTATCTTAGCTACATAGTAACTTATGAGTATAGAGCCGACACTATTATTCTAAGCTCACATTTGTGAATCTAGTATTGCATATTCGAAACTCCAAGCGGTCTCAAATGAAAAGAAATAAACTATAAAGTTGTAGATATCATCGAGCACTACAACTTCTATGCTGATTTTGTTTCTATCAGGAATAGTTTAATAGGTCTGAGATCATATATTATCCTCTAGCTTTGTCGATCGAGTACACCCTTCCATTATTTTTGGCACTTTGATTGAGTAGCTGTGACGGCAGGAATCAGGATTTGTTCTTGCCGTCATGGAATACAGCCAGCCTTAACTAGTTCCAGTCGGAGAGGATTCCTTTTGAGTAATCAGGCTTTCTCAGCAAGGAACAAATCCTTTGCGAAGTTTCCAGCTGTTAGAGCATCCATTAGAACTTAAAAAAGTGTTGTTTCCTGTTAGAGCATCCGTTGCTTTAAAAAAGTACATTTATCATTACCGGTTTCAAACTAGCCATCTCACATGCTTTGTGAAGTTTCCAGCTGTTAGAACATCCATTACTTTAAAAAAGTGAGTGTTGTTTCCTGTTAGAGCATCCATTACTTTAAAAAGTATTTATCATTACGGGTTTCAAACTAGCCGTCGGGTTCATAAACCCGGGGTCCATCATGGACCGGCTTCCCAACAAAGGCTCGCCCCAACAGACAACGTTGCAAGCAACGCGCAACTCATGGGCCGGCCCAAATACCTAGATAACAGGCCAGATGGACGATCCAATCTCCGACTGGAAGGCCTGGCCGAGGAGGAACGGCGCCCGTTCCGACTCCGGCCCACCTCTCCGACCGGAGCACTCGCTTCGGTCTCCAGCCCGCCTTCGGACGGCCTCTCCGACCGGAAGGCCTGGCCAAACACCACTTCTAAACTACGACCCGTGTCTCCGACCGGGGATACATTGAACCCCTGCTTACAGCTCCTCTCCGACTGGCAAGGTCAGAGCTGACTGGGGCCAACCGACCGGGGACGCCCGCTCGGTAAGGACCATGAAACGGACGTAGTAAGGCAGGGCGCACAAGTCAAACCACAATACCAGGGACCGTACCCTGTGCACCTGCCAGGTAGTACCCTGCGACCCTCTTGGCACGACATAACCCAAGCAGTGTTGTAGGCGCCGATATTTTCCCCTACAATGTTGTAGGCGCCATTAATTCCCATATCGGACAAATACGGTAAGGCTCCCCCAACATGCCTCTGGGCATCAACAGTGTTGTGGGCGCCGGCATTTACCGTACCGGGCGAACATGGTAAAACACCTTGCATGCCTCTGGGTATCAACAGCGTGGCAGGCACCGACATCTGCCATACCTGAAGAAGACGACGCAACCTCCCACGTGCATCTGACATGCAACTGTATTGTGGGCGCCTACCATCATCCTATACCCACCGACGTGGGCAACAAGACTTAGTAGCATATGTACTCTCTCCCCCTCATTTATAAGGCCATCCCCTTCATCTATAAAAGGGGATGCGCCCTCTCCATCACAACTAAGTGGATTCAGATCGATCAAGTTCACTTAGCACATAGCGGAGCTCCCGTCACTCTTGACCCCTCTGACCAGAGTCTGACCGAACCTCTTGTACCCCCATCTTTCTCCTTCTTGTTTGTAAACCCACTGCAAACATCGAGCACCTAGGCTCGGGAATAAAGTCACCGACTGACTCAAACTAGACGTAGGGCACGTTGCCTGAACCAGTATAAACCCTGTGTCATTGAGTACTAGGCCACCTCCGATCACAACGTACGACAAAACTACAAATATTTACGTGTTGGTCACTTTCTGCACCGACAGTTGGCATCGTCCGTGGGAAGACGTTGTACGTTCAACACTTTTTGATCATCGGATGGCCCATTTTTCCTCCACCTTCGCCATGGCGGGCTCAAGCGATACAACTCGCTTTGACTCACTGGAGTTTCCCGCACTCCCACCTATGGGGATGTGGGTTCTACCCATCTTTGAGCCATCCCAGGCCTTCCTCTTTAGAAGCCTAGACTTCGTCGCTGACCAGCTCGGCGTACTACACCTCCTCAAGGAGGCACTCGTTCCGACGCCCGTCGGAGGTGCGCCCTCCATTGGCTCTGGGACGCACGACGACTTCAATGACGAGGCACCTACCACGCCATTTTGGGGCGGCCATGCTATGCCAAATGCATGGCAATCCCCAACTACACCTACCTCAAGCTAAAGATGCTAGGACCGAACGACGTCATCTCTGTGAGCAACACCTTCTCGCACACCTTCACGTGTGACCGCGAGCATTTCGAGCTTGCCACCGCAGTCATCAACTTGTCCAAGCTCCCATGGCTCGGGGAGTCATCAACCCCAGTAGTCCTAGATGGCAACAAACCAACCTCCTCGATGGCCTTCCGCCCGCTCGAGGAAACCAAGGCGGTGGGAATCGATCCCACCGACCCAACCAAGACGGTGCGGATCGGGACCCAGCTCCCAGCCAAATAGGAATGCGAGCTCGTCGACTTCCTGCAAGCCAATTGCGATTTCTTTGCATGCAATACCACGGGACGTCACCGAGCACGCACTATGCCTCATTCCGGGCTCAAAGCCCGCTAAGCAATGCTTGCACCGCTTCGATGACGAGAGGCGTAGGGCCATAGGCGAAGAGATTGCCAAACTCCTAGCAGCTAGATTCATCAGAGAGGTATTCCACTCCGACTGGCTTGCCAATCCCGTTCTTGTTAAAAAGAAGACGGGGAAATGGCGAATGCGCGTTGATTATACTGGCTTCAACAAAGCGTGTTCAAAGGATCATTTTCCTTTGCCGCGCATAGACCAGATAGTCGACTCCACCTCAGGTTGCGAGATCCTCTCCTTTATTGATGCCTACTTGGGCTATCACCAGATCACGATGAAAGAGTCCGATCAGCTCGCAACCTCGTTCATCACCCCGTATGGTTCGTACTGCTACGTAACCATGCCTTTTGGCCTGAAGAACGCTGGCGCCACCTACCAAAGGTGCATGCAGCAATGCTTTGCCGACCAAATCGACCCGCTCGATCAGCCTGATCAAGCCGAGTGGCCGAAACCAACAATCGCCATCTATGTTGATGACATAGTGGTCAAAACGGCTCAAGTTTGCGACATGATCACAAACTTGGCCGCAACATTCGCGAACCTTCGAAGGTTCAACATCAGATTTAATCCCGAGAAATGTGTTTTCGGGGCTCCAAAGGGGAAGCTGCTAGGATACATTATGTCCGAGCATGGCATCGAGGCCAACCCTGAAAAGATCATGGCCATCTCTAACATGGGCCCTATACGCAATGTCAAGGGCATACAAAGGCTCACCGGTTGTCTGGCTGCATAAGCCAATTCGTCTCCTGGCTCAGCGAACGGGGGATACCACTCTACAAGCTCCTCAAAAAGACAAACGCCTTCGTCTGGACTGAGGAAGCTCAGCAGGCTCTAGAGAGCCTCAAAGCATCCCTGACGTTGGCCCCAATCCTCGTCGCTCCCGAACGGGGAGAACCCCTCCTCCTCAACATCACGGCAAGCAACCATATGGTGAGCGCCGCCCTGGTCGTCAAGAGGGAGGAGACAAGACACCACCTTAAGGTCAAGCGGCCCATATACTTTGTCGGGGAGGTACTCGCCGACCCCAAGGTCCGGTACCCCTAGGTGCAAAAACTCCTATACGTCGTGCTGATGGCGACCCGAAAGCTCCTGCACTACTTCACTGTCCACGAAGTCATGGTTGTC